AAGGCTGGTGTTTGTACCGCAGCCGCGGGTGGCCCTGCTAGAGTGAGGGCCGTGGTGACCGACTCAAGTTTCTCCAGCCTGGAGTTGACCTTACCCATGGATGCCATGAGTGAGGATAACATGGCATGTATGTCCCCTGGGTTGGACTGGCTAGATCCTTCCCCGGCTTCCATGTTATTAGTTGATGTGCGTAGCAGTTTGAAAAGTTCTTCCTTGCTGTAGCGGGGTAGGGGATTTGTCGTCTCCTTAATTCCGTGGTTATGCGCGGGATTGTCCAGGATCTGATTGATGCTGGACTAGCTAGCTCTCCTCCTTGTGTGGGAGTGACAGCTCTAGCCGGGGTGCTAGGCAGGGAGAAATCCTCTACCCCTTCCTGAGACATACTATAAATAAAACAATAATTAGTATATAGAACCACCAAATTGTACTGGCAGGCTAGCTAGGCCGGATGGCGAAAGTATTATACTTGTATGGTGGCAGGTGAGGCCCTGCTAATTGCCAAGCGGCTTGAGAGGCTCTATCTATGCGTTGGCGCGAGGGGTTATTGAGGCCACTTGACGTAGTGGCAGGAGTTTTAGGCCTCTCGGTGACTGTACGACAGAAAACAGGGGAAGGGAGTGACAGGTGAGGCCCTCTCTTTGCAACATGCGAGGCGGCTAGCTAACGTGTGGCCCGATGGGTGTTTGCCTCCGAACGTTTGAGGCGGGGTGTTGGCCTCGCGGGACCACTAACTGATGGCGACAGCCAAGACGGGGTAAATACCTATTGGGAATCCTGTGACCCTATTGCCAGTACTCTAAAACTAGGGGGATGAAATGAAATGTATGGTAGAATACCATATGAGCAGGTGTACGTACCTGGTAGTATGACAAATCACAGGAATAAACCGTGTGGAGCAATTATATAAGCTTGACAGCCTAAAAATGGGTAAAAGAGAGTAGTATGATGAGTGTGGAGTGTGAAAAGAAACAGACTTATAGTCCGTAGCAGCGATGTATTAAAATTATGTTGATACCATGGGAATAGCTATGAGTGGCTCAGAAATGTTAGCATGCTTGAATAAGACATCTGAGGGAGGCCGTGGCCTATGTACCAACAATCTATGTGTTACGTGATAATGGTGTGTAAAGGAAAACATGAAACGTAGGTTATATACATATGTATATGACTGTGCAGGGAACGTATGATTGGTTGGATCAGTACGTGTGATTCAACCCGAGTATGCATGAAAAAGGAATTAAGCCTTATGTGTCATCGTCATGACAGAGAAATGAGGCCTGTAATATAGGCTGAGTGAATTGAAATGAAATGGATAGTTATAAAACTCCTGGCGTGGGAGTTTCAATGATCTGTACAGAAATGTAACTGGTTTTATAGAAAGGGACATGGATGAGGTCCTGGCCTATTTAACACAGCGTTATGTATGATATGTAGCAGAATAACCAAAGGCAGGGATACCCCAAAATGATTTAAAATGATGTAAAGTGATGTATATCTATATGATATATTGTATAGAAAAGACGTATCAACCCGAGAATTATGCTTAAATGAACCTATATTCTTTGTATGTGTTGTAGTAATAACCCAGAACTGAGGCCTGTAACATAGGCTGAGTCCATTTGTATAAATGGATAAGTAACGCAGACCCCTGAAAGCGTGGGAGTCAAATGGTATATACAGAGAAGTGGACTTGATTTGTGGACGTAATACAATACTGAAAATATTTTAAAAGTAATCAAAATAATCTATTTAAGCAAGCAATTCTTTAACCGAACGTTATATACACATGAAATGGTGAATATAATTCATGAAAGGATTATACGTGAACACACAGAAAAGCCGAAAGCAAATGTGAGGGAAACACAGAAGTTTAGAATAGTTTAACTGTATGACTTATGCGAACCGAAAGTGTGTTTGAGCGTAAGTAAAATTTTGCCGAACGGCAAAACAACCGAATGATAATTTGTTTCAATAACATGAAATAGGATATGCGAAATTACTATTGAACGATTAAATATGTTCAGCCGAATGACCGTACGAATGAAAAAGCCCGCGAATGGCTTGAAACATTCGTGTCATAACCAGGGAAAAAGCCGTAAAGCGAGGACCCGTGCTGTACCGTACGCCGTGGGAACCGGTCCTGGCATGACAGGAAGGTCTGACTTACGGTTTAGGAGTCCCTGGGACGCGATCTACGACGGAGACCGGAGTCAGAAGAAGCTGGACGGGCAGAAAGGCCTGAACAGGATTCCTGGACACAGCTTAACGTGGTGAAACCTCGTGGATACTGAAACCAAGATGGCGTCTGAGAGAACCCGGAAGTGGATCCTCATTCAACGCTGACCTCGAACGGTAAGGAGCAAGGTAAGGGAAGTGCCTTAAGTAGGCTAGGGGTAGCAAACCAGCACCTCCCACAAATGCAGGCAAATTGCCTTAATACATATGAAATGACACAAATCAAATTAAAACAGCAATGTAAATAGAGTAATTTGATTTCTCTCTAATATTCTAAACCAGGTTTAGCGACCATTACTGCTCTGAATTACATAGCAGCTCTCCTCTCGCAACTGTGCAGGAAACATGAAATGGTTCTTTGAGCTCTATAATGGCATTTCCAACATGTCCAGTGTTGGAGGAAACAGTTAAAAAAATGTTTTTATATATTGAGCCAATTTAGAAATGAAGAAGTACTGTACAGAAAAACATACAGCCTTTCTAAGTCTGGATGTTGATGCATAGACTTAGCAAGATACTGAAAATGACTGGTAACATCTTGATAAAGACACAGTTGTGTTATTTACTGGACAGAAACCAAAGAATACTCTAAACAATCAAGAAAAATACACAAACATTCAGTCAAACTTGTTATAGCTTTGCTTTCCTCCAGCCCTAAATTACTTTTCTCTACTTTCCCCTCTAATCACCTGCACCAACCCCCCTCGTAGATCTTTAATGCGGAGGATCTTGCAGGCTAAGAAACACAATCTATCCCAAGCCACATCCCCAAACTAGCTTGCGATATTTCACCTCTACTTCTGTAACTTTCTGCTTCTTTCCCACAAAGGATGAAGTTTATAGGTCACTACTTTCCCTATTTAAGAGGGACAATCCCTTATCAGAGTCCAAATCTCTGTCACTCTTTTCTACGAGCTCCATAATGTTGGTTTATCGGAGTGTATAACAGAGCTCCAAAGCAATAATACTCCTAATAATGGTGTCCCTAAATTATTAGATTAATTAGATAATGCAGATTTCATAGGCTGGGTTGTATTAATAATTGTTCTTTATGGCTTTCTTCATTCTTTACAACCTGCATGATTGACCAAATCCCACCCTAATACTTTCTCTGTCTTCAATCCTCGCTCCTGCCCTTACTCACATCTTCCCAAACTCTTTCAAACATGCTCCTATACTCATTAAACCCTCCCTTAACCCTATCTGTCCTGCAAACTACCCTTGTCACTACTTCCTCAAACATCCTGGGAAAATTAGTTTATGACCACCTAACCCACTTCTTGTCCTCCAAGTCCCTGCTCGACCCCCGCTATCTGGATTCCATCCCCAACACTTGACTGAAATTTCCCCCACCAAGGTTACTAATGATTTTCTTTCTACTTCAAAGCACTGAAGTGATCATGGTATTTGGAGTAACCCTGTAAAAATGTTCCCCTGCCCCATTTATGATAAAATTGGAAACCACTTCAATAGGTTTTTTTTTGCCACAAATTCCTGGAATTTCCTGCTCGTGAGGCATTTTATTTTTGCCCCTTCGTATATCAAATCCTTCACTTGCCACCGGTACTGAAGCGTGCAGTCTGCTTTCTGGAAGATACTTTCAATATTGCATGACGGCTGAAATGATTTGCCAATGTTTGATGATTAGGAATGCGGGTGATTGTGTATAGATGTTTCATCTGAATACATGTTATCAACTGACTCAAAGATAAGCCAAACATATTCAGATTTATTTTTTCCTTTGTATAGAACTTACCCTATAAAGCAACACTAATGCTAAATATTGTAACAGAGTCTTTCAGGATGATACAGCTCCAAATTGGTCCTTTAAAGGTTTAGTTGCTAATAGCAACAAGGAAGTATTTTAATAATAGGTTGCGTCCTTTCAACAAATAGAAACCGAAGTTGCTAGATCGTCTTAAAATATCGATATACGGTCCATGAATACCTGGACAATAATGTTGATGCAAGATTAGTTTTGCAGTATTTTATTTGCATATTCTTAGAGACGTGAATAATTTAGTTTGTGGGTATTTGAAAACATGTCACTGTTTGCCAAACACAACATACTGCCCTAGAATTTTCTATTTATTTTAGAGAAGCAATCTTTTTTTTTCTTTTCATCCTTCCTGTTTACTTGTTACCTTTAAAGATCACATCTATTAAAAATGACTTTGCACAGCAACTTATTTAAAGGGGGGGATTAGTTTTACATGTAGATTAGCAGCGTACTATATCCACTCTATCTGTGAACTGATGAAAGAACATCTGGAACAACCAGATGACCAGTCCATAGGATGCTGGCAGAATTAATTACTCAAGACTGAACTACAGTGAATTAATTTAAAATCTAAATTTCAAATTAATTGAATAGTGTATTTGGTGTGTTGGGGGGGGAGAGCCTCAACTTTGTATAGCTTTCCATTGTAACATATTTAAAGTTCCCAAAGAACTTAAATTATAAATATTTTGTTGCTTTGCGAACTGTAATTGCATTACTTACATGCAATCCTTCGCTCAAGTATCGCCATTCTCACACGTCCGTGGGTGTACCAGCCCTCTACAACCATCTTCAGTTGCCAATCCTGACTGCGATGATTGACCCTACTGGGGAGACTTTCCTAAGGTAGGCCATTCTCAATGCTGATGCCAACATTATGGCTTCATTTCCAGCACATCAGCGTGTTCCATACTCCCCGCCCAAGCATGAGGAACCCCTGTTGGGGGAGTGATACAGTGCAGAGATCCACTTGGGCTATTTTGGTCTAAAATTTAACATTTTCTTTGAATTTCTTATACTTTACAATTCAGTAACTAAAATGAACACAGAGCACATTTGACACACAAAAATTTAAATAACTTGATGAAGTGTATGACCCAACATTTGAAACCACATGAATAACTTATGATTCAAACATTCGCTAATAACTCAGTGTTCTCTTTAAGCAATGCACAACAGAAAGAGGTTTGACTATGTATGGCCTTATTATTCTTTAATAAAACTAACATTAATTTGACAGTTTTTGGTCTCACTAATATGCAGTATTTTGTTTGCACGAAGAAAACGTAAAAGTTTTTGCAGAAACAATATAAATGTTTGGCAGAATGCGGCTCTATAAGCCTGCCTCTGTAACCACGCCTCCTCACTCCAGAAAAATACTACCTTATCAAATGTATGCAGAGCTTAGCCACGGACAGCACTGAATGAGCGGCTTTTAATACACAACCTGACTGCAGGCAATAAGAAGATACAAAATAGGTAGTGATACTCACTCTATTTCTCCTACCCCTAATGCAGGTTGCTTTTAATTTCAGATCCTTCAGTACTGTCAGTGGCTGAGCTGTGTGCATACATTTGATAAAGCTTTTTTTTTTTTTTTTCTAGAAAGAGGGGGCATGGTTCATTGTTCTGCAAAATATTTATTTTATTCAAAAACTACAAAGATTTGAGCATGCAAACAAAATAAATAAGTTAAACATGTCAAATGCATTAGTAGTATTTGTACCCAGTGTTCCTTTTAAATTCCATAGGATTTGGCACGAACAATTCACCTTGCTGCTTTGAGCTAAAAGGCCGAGGCAATTTTCTAAACCTCTAACCCATTTCTGTGTCAGATTTTGCCTTTTAGCTGAAAGCAGTAAGGTAAGAGGTTTGCCTTGATGTGGCAGATGAGCTTACACTTTAATAGACATTGGTGTGATATTAAAATATCTCCAGTTATTTAAGTGTGCACAGGGATTTGGGACAGTGTGCATGAAACATTTCTACTTTTCATTATATGTATTGGGGCTGATCTGTACTAGTCATTGCTGCTACCCAGGAGTAGTGGGAGTTTGAGGGCAGGGATTCATTTTGTGTATTTGTATTTACTTTTGTATTACACAGCCATGTCACAGTGTTGCCGCCCACCTTATGTGTTCCCTATTAAGGGCTAATAAGTATGTAGGTATTGTAAAAATATCCCACTCTGTCTTTTAGCTTAGAGAAGCAAGGTGAATTGTTGACCATTGTAGTGATACAGATGCTCCTCACTTTACAACCTGCTCATTGAATGACCGCTCGGAGTTACGACGTGCGACTCAAATTCGGTAGATCGTTCGGGGAAAAGATCTAAGGTACAGCTTTCTAGTGTAAAGCTGTACCTCGCATCATTGCCGCAATTGAAAACCTGCTAATGAGCCTCGACAAACAGTACAGGTACTAAATATACTGCAATCCATCTGAACGTGGCAAAATTCTTTAAATTACATTTTCCCACATTTTCATTAGTCAGTTTCTCATTCGCGGCAAAGATGCATGATACAGCTTTGTACTGTAAAGCTGTTCCTTGCATATTTGCCATGAATGAGAAACCGGCAAAGGAGAACATGAAATTCAACTCAGCAAATTTTGCCACATTCAGAGGGATTCCAGTACATTTAGTACCTGTACCATACGTCAAGGCTCATTAGTGTCAAAGATACAAGGTACAGCTTTGTACTGTAAAGCTGCTGTACCTCGCATCTTTTCCATGAATGAGAAATTTGGCGAATAATAAGCGGTGGTCCTCGCTTATCGACCAATTCACTTACAGACGTACAGAGTCGTAGGAATGGAACTCTGTGGTTAACGAGGAGCACCTGTACTAAAAAAACAAAAACAAAACTCCAGTTATTTAAATATTGGGACAGTGCGCAAGTAACTTTTTTTGCTTTTATTTTGTACCTGTCTGCTTCCTCTTTGTTAAACATTACAGCATAACCTAAATTTTATGTAAATAAAATGATTGCATTGTACTTTGCAGGTGTGAAACATTAATTTGCTGGAAGTAATTCACTGGGTTTCTGTGCAGAGAAAGTTTTGTCGTATGGAAATACTTTTTGTTCTTTATTGTGCGTTATTTTGTGGCTCGTGCACTAGTGCATCTTTTACACCCAGTGAGCCGTATGTACCCTGAAAAAGTGAAAAGCTGAGCTGATCCTGCTAGGAATCAAACTTGCAACCCTGAGGTTTGAATTAATACTAGAGGCACAGCTGTTATATGGATAAACTGCGCTCTCTCACCTGTATGAACTCTTACGAATGTGTGAATTTGTGTGTAGATACGGAACACATTTTAAACACAATCAATATTCCACAAAGTCATCAAACAAATGAAACTTTCTTCACGCAATATTTTTCTAATTTTCTTTCTTTTTTTTTTTCTTGTGCGGTGACATGAACAAGGTTCTTAAAAACAGCAGAATAACAATGTACAAATTCAGACACAATGGGGGAGGAAAGGATCCTATTGTTGTGATATGGACGCAGATCAGATAATCATAAAGGCGTTGGCCTTTAACCCTTTTACTGCCAGAATCCAGCAAACAAAAGGTTCAAACATACGGTCATAAATGCTTATTGATCAGTCTATACCAACCAGTCTGTGATAGGTCAATTTTTGTCTTCATATTCTGAACAACTACAGAGAAATGGAAGCTTGGATGGGTCTGGAGTTTACAAAATGGCGGCCTCTCTTATATCTAGAGCGGGTTTTGCCCTGTTGATTCATAAGCAGCCTAGCGAATTAGAAGGACAAAAAAAATAACTGAATGATGGGACGAATGACCAGTACGGCCTGCTTGAGGAATTCCATGACATCATTAAATGTGCTGCAGTAAATACACACCGGATCACAATGATCTGCTGTAAAAGACTGAAATAGGAAGGTCATGCTAAATGATGAACATGGCTACTGCAGTAAGGACATGGCTGTCAGACTCTGGGACGGCAGACATACCACGGTAACATCCACTGTGGTCTGGCTAAGCATCATTTAAAATGTAGCTGATAAATATCTGTCGAAACAGACAAGTTAATCCTGGACTACGCAGGCCTTTTCTTTTCTTATAAACTACTGGAACTGAAGAAGAGTGACTCGATCAATATGGCCAAACAGATAGCCTTCCGTATTTAGCACAAGGCAAAATGCCTGTCTGACAAGCTCTGGTTAAGGCTCTCACCTGATGTTTCATATAACCTGGTGTCATCTGTGTCTCTCAATTGGTTTGCTAAAGTCAGGCCTGGGGGCGTGCTGTGCTCAAGCCTTGGATATAGCATGTACTCTATTTACTTCTGTTAAACATTCCCCCTATCTTACAGGGGTAAAGAGAAAGTACACCATTCCCACAGCTACAACACTGGAGTAAAAAAAGAAAAGGTTTCACTGGTAGTTCACTTAAAAAAATTAGGCTTTACAGAATTTGCATTTCACTCATACAATGCAATAGCCGTGAGGGTTCTAGTTCGAATTTTACATCACTCCTTTAAATGTGCGCACCCTCTAACAACCTAAATGAATGACTGTTTAAAGGGCTAAACCTACAGTGGTTGTTCAATTCTATTTCGATAAGTAATTATAAGTAACCATAGAAAGCTCAGTAACATAAAATCAGGGTCAGATTTGGTGCCTTCCTGGCAATTTATTATTTAACCTTTTGTAAGATATTATCACAGTTAGACAGACCCAAGAAAGCACTAACTATTCCTTCCTGCAGTCCTCAGATTTAACAATACTCGCCCCATTAAACGTGTCACCAGTGCCAGTTTCATTTTGTTCCCAAGTGGGACACTCCGAAATATTGGGAAGATTTCAAGTATCCTGCGTTGGTCTTATTTATTCAGAGATAAATATTCACATCATGCATATATTTAAGAGGCACACACTGCAAAGTAATTAAACCCTCCCACCCCAACCTAAAAAAAATTAAACAGGTCTGCAACCAAAAGCAGAAATCAAAATAAATAACTGAAATTATTTACCAAAGTATATTCTTCAAATGTCCCCTCAAATCCTAACCTCAAAGTATCAGGTAATATAAACATTCTCTGTAATACTGTAAAACCTTCACATGTGGAACATCTCAACAACCTTATTTTTTTCTTGGCCTTCATAGATTATACAATTATGGACAATATATATATATATATCTAAGTGTGTGTATACATACAACCATGTTTCTGCTCCCCATGATGACTATAAAATAACCCTAATACGGCATGGGTTTTAACTACCAGTGAAGCTTGATGCTGTCTCGATGCTGACAACGTCTCGTCTCTGGGACATTTCATTCCAGAATTTGATGTCTAATCGGCTAACGACCGCACAGTGCGAAGCAGACTAGACAAGGGCTAACGACAAAGAATATAACTGCTCTTTAAGGGGATAACAGGCTTATTTGGTAGATATTGTGTATACATATACACACACAGATATATATATATATCAACATTGTGGGGTTTTAGTGTTCGGAATCCAGGCAGGAATGTCCAGGATTTAGAAGATGATAAAGAAACACATATTAAAAAGTAATAAAATGTGAGAAGAAAAAGGTTCTGTGTTCATGGGACTCAGAAGATATTTCTGCATAGAGAACCTTCAATACCCATCACAGCAAATTGCCTACCAACATGCAAAGCAAATCCGTTGAAGGCTATTTGTGAGCTAAAGAATTCTATTCACTCCCAGAAAGGAAATGCCACTGTATAGTGATGCTGAGTATCCGCAGAAATCAGTTGCCCTTTTGCTTTCTCTATGATATAATGTGAAGGAGATCTGGCATATTGGGTCTGGGTGGCATTTTGGATCCCTGTAATCTCGTTATCAGACAGTAATAATTGCAATAATTCCAGCAACAAGATGCGTCAGACAGACAGCGTATTGTCAAATTGCAAAACACAACGCTATGTTTTTTAAAAAGGGTTTGCTTAGATTTGTTTAATGTGTAAGATTAAGGAGGCAGTCTCACATTTTTACCTAATCGTTATACTTGGGTGAAAACATGACATATCAAATGCTTTCAATTTACAAACTTAGAATGTAATTTGGAGAAACATATCCAGGATAAAAATAGAAACAAAAAATAAAAAAATTAAGGCAGCCACATCTTTGCATTAAGCATGGATATATTGTATAGGAAAACAAATTAAGAATATTTACAAACTGCTCTAA